ACTAAGCTAGAAGGCCCGTTCAGGGCCCGAAGGGTTGAGGAAAGAGGAGGAGCTGAACACGGGAAGTGGACCTGGTGAAGATGTGGGCAGTGGAGCTGAACTGTAGAAAAGAGGTGGTTTGGCTCGCAATAAACATCAGAAAAAAATATAGACATAGAAACATACAATCAGACCGCAAATGCATTCCTCTATATGGTCATGGGACATGTTCGCAGCCATACTTTAGGCTGCAATTGTTGGGGCTGTGTCATCCGACACCGTCCGACACGGTCCAACACCATACACACGATACTGTCAACACCAGCACACATGGTTATATATATATATTATATTATATAATATAATATAATATAATACAATATAATATAAATATAATATAAATATAATATAATATAATATAATATTATATAATATATATATTTCCAACCTCAAGAATTCGATCTCAAATCCTGATCATCCTGATCCCAAACCTCACATCTTGCGCCTGCATCAGAAATCCATAGGGATCGAATTTCACCTCGCCAGCGCTGGTGACCATAAGGCCAAAAGTGATGAGCAGCAAGGTCCTGGGCGCTGCGTGCAAAACATAAGAAAAATATGATAAATTGCTTCCCGATCATTTGAATGAACACACCAAATAGATCTAAATAAATCCAAATAGATCCACATAGTGTCCAAAAGTTAAAACTGCAGGAACAAAAAACAGAGCCTGGCAAATCACCAGAGTCTTGGCTACTGCTATTGACCAGTGTTGGAGGCCGCAGAAGCAGCCAACCACATAAACCTTGGCTTGAAACGAAGCCTTGCTGCCAATGCTCTTTGTTCAGATCTTTGGGTTGTGCCTTGTCATAAACTGAAAGCAAAAGACGATACAGACTGCAACATATGGTACCACACTGAATCTCCGAATCAGCGAATGCTGTTGCACTAAACACTTGCAGAGCTCATGAACACCGACAACATATGTGCAGGTCCACGCAACGGCTGAAGCAGTCCAGGCTTTAATCATCTGGCAGAAACCCACAGAAAGGTACATCCTCAGCATCGGCCACAGCAGGTGCCAAATTTCCAATCGAGAGGACTTGTTCCACATAGGCTTAGCTGATGGATTCAAGTTATAAAGACTTCTTGCTGGCATGGGGCAATTGGTATCTTGTTGGATTCAAGTTTGATATTTCAGTTGTGGAACTCTGCAAGTCCAACAGCAAAATGTTGATCGGTTCGGAGTTGTTTAGGGATTTGTTTTTCCGATTTGTGTTTTTCTATTTCCTGTTCTGCCCGTTTTCCTTGCTTTGCAGCATTTTGGAGCTGGAAGCTGCCATTTCAACCGTATTTGGAACATTTTGGAGGTTTAACCTCCTATTCTCCATGGTTTTTGCAACATTTTGGTGCTCAAACTGTGGCACCTAGGGTTCATTTTGGATTGGTTTAGGGTATATTTAGGATTAGTTTAGGGTTGGTTTTGGGTTTATTTGGGGTTGGTTTAGGGTCGGTTTTAGGTTTGGTCTAGAGTTTTTTTAAGGGTGTGTTTTGGGGTTTCTTTTGAGTTGGTTCTGGATTTTTTGGGGGGCCGGTTTAGTGTTTATTTAGGGTTGGTTGAGGGTTTACTTGAGAGGGGGAACACGAAAGGTAGGTGATCAAGAAGGGGAAACAAAGTTTCCCTGTGTAAAAGTTGGCTGTGTGTAAACGCGTGCTGTGTGCACAAGTTTCTGTGTGCAATTTGTGTCTGTGCAAACACATCTGTGTAAAACCGTCTGTATGTAAAAATATGTTGCGCGATGCTGTGCGTAAAACCTTCTGTGCGTAAGACTTCTGTGCGTAAGACTTCTGTGCGGAGAATTTTCTGTGTAAAAATTTTTGTGTAAAAACTGTTGTGAATATGTGTTCTTGTGCGTCAAGGCTTGTGTGCGAAAAAAATTTTTGCTGCGTAAAACCTGTTCCGGGTGAAGTTTCTGCGTGCAAAAAAGTCGGTCTGTAAAAGCTTCTGTGTGCAATCTGTGTGTACAATTTTCTCTGTGTCAAATGTTTTTTGTGTAGAAAAACATGTGTGAAAACTGTTCTGTGCAAAGGTTTCTCTGTGGAAAAGGTTCTGTGTGTAAAAACGCCCATGCGCCTTTATTTATGCGCGCAAAAACATCTTTGTACAAAGCATCTCTGTGTAAATACTTCCTTCTTTGCGTAAAAACCTTTGTGTGTAAAGGCGTTGATGCACAAAGGTTTTTTTGTGCACAAACTTCTCTGTGTAAGAATATCTGCGCGTAAAAGCTGCTCTGTGCAAAGGCTTCTGTGCAGAACGTCGTCTGTGTGTAGAAACGTATCAGTGCAAAATGCGTCACCACAGCCAAAGCGCAAAAAAAATGAAATTACTTTACTTCGTGTGATCCCCACCATGACATCTATACATTTTGTTACTGGCAAATCTTCTGGCATTCTATCTGACATATCTTCTGGCATTCTATCCGGCATATCTTCTGGCATTCTATCTGGCATATCTTCTGGCATATTATCTACTCAAATCTTCTGGCATTCTATCTGGCAAACATTCTGGCACTTTATCTGGCATATCTTCTGGCATTCTATCTGACATTCTATTGGCACCTTCTGGCATCTATCTGGCATATCTTCTGGCATATCTTCTGGCACTCTATCTGGCATATTTCTAACATTCTATCTGGCATATCTTCTGGCACTCTATCTGGCATATCTTCTGGCATTCTATCTGGCCGTTGAGGTCCAGCGGTGCACACTGAGCTGGGAAGGTCCCAGGTTGAGGTCCAGCGGTGCACACTGAGCTGGGCAGGTCCCAGGTTGAGGTCCAGCGGTGCACACTGAGCTGGGAAGGTCCCAGGTTGAGGTCCAGCAGTGCACACTGAGCTGGGAAGGTCCCAGGTTGAGGTCCAGCAGTGCGCACTGAGCTGGGAAGGTCCCGGGTTGAGGTCCAGCAGTGCGCACTGAGCTCGGAAGTTGGCAAAGAGCTTGGCGAAGAGTTGGCAAGGCGGAAGTGGAGGTGGAAGTTGATGCAGACATGGTCGAGGAGAAACTGCAGGAGGAGGAGGAGGAGAACGAAGCGGAGGAGGAGGCGGAGGAGGAGGAGGAGGGCAACAGCTCTGATAAAATCTAACAACCCTCACAGGGCACTGGCAGGTGGGGAACAAAAGAATCCAAGATCAAATGTTTGATGTCACTACCGCTGTTGATGATGGCGATGATGCCCGCAGGGCCCCACAAGGCGTCATTTTGGCTGTCTTAAGTCTATTTTTGAAAGCCTTCGGAACAAGTTGCTTTCTTCGAGTGATCCCCATTTTGACATATTTTCTGACATGCTATCTGGCTTTCGCATTTTATCTCATATATTTTCTGCAATTCTTTCTGGCATTCTATCTGGTATATCTTCGGAGTTTCTTTGTGGTTGAGGTCCAGCGGGCAACGCTCTGATCATAAATTTCGATGTTTTTGTTGTTGCTGTTGCTGTTGCTGTTGTAGTTGCTGGTGTTTGTTGTTTGTTCTTCTTCTTCTTCTTCTTGTTGTTCTTCTTCTTGTTGTTGTTGTTGCTGCTGCTGTTGTTGTTGTTGCTGCCGTTGCCATTGCCGTTGCCGTTGCCGCTGCTACCCGTGCAGCTTTTTTCTCAGTCCCGTAGTGGCCGAAAATCGTCAAATAGGTGGTGTTTTCACGTTTTTTTGAAACTCTCGGAGCAAAAAAACATGTTCTTTGGCCTCGGGGGACAAAAAACACGAGATTTACAATGTTTTTTGGCCAGTGCCTAGCAAAAACACAAATATTTATGCAGTTTTCAGGCTCTTAGGGTTCGTGGAGGGGGCGGAGAGGGGGTGTACTGAAATGACTAGCAATCTCCTGAATAATCAGGTAACGGGGCTGGCCACCGTCCCCTTCACTTCGTAGAGCAAAACTCAAGGTAGCCTGACTGGAGCTGCCTTTCGTGATTTGGGTTTATGGTCTATTGTCGTTTAGGGTTTATTTAGGCTTGGCTCAGGATTATCTAGGGCTGGTTTAGGATCTATTTAGGGGTTGGTTTCAAGTTTATTAAGGCTGGTTTAGGGTTTATTTAGGCTTGATTTGAGATCTATTTAGGGTTGATTTAAGATCTATTTAGGGTTGGTTGAGGACCTATTTAGCGTTTGTTGAGGGTTTATTTGTTGCTAATGTTCGATCTATTTAAGGTGTGTTTAGGTTTGCTTAGAAAGGGTTGCTTGAGTTTTTTCGAGGGTGGCTTGGGGTTGATTTAGGGTTGGTTTCGGGTTGATTTATATCTACATAGTACTTATTAGGTTTAATATAGACTTGGGAACCAAAAACAAAGGGAAAAGCAGAAAAGCGGAGAAGCAGGGAAAAGTAGAAAAGCAGAGAAGCACAGAAGCAGATAAGCAAAAAAGAAGCAAAGAAGCAGGGAAAAGCAGAAAAGCAACGAAGCAGAAAAACAGGAAACGCAGAGAAGCAAAGAAGCGGGGAAAAGCAGAAAAGCAGAGAAGCAATGACAGTGAAAACAAAAAAACGCAAAACGGAGAGAAAAAAAAACACTCCATTTTGAAATGGCAGTTGCCAAACCAAGTGTTCAGGATTGAGTCTACTACTCCAATGCGACAATATCAAAATATTGATAAATCATCAACCAAGCATCACTGCAGTATTCCTGAGCTGCCGGAAACGGCGTTCATGGCAGTTGCAGAAGGAAGGTAAATGTTTCGTTCATCCCAGCACGTCTGTGAAAATAAAAATCACCACGTGTTTCCTCCTCCAAACCACCACCACCACCACCACCACCACCAGCATCAGCATCAGCATCAGCATCATCATCATCATCATCATCATCATCATCCTCATCCCCATCGTAATCGTCATCCTCATCCCCATCCCCATCCCCATCGTAATCGTCATCCTCATCATCATCATCATCATCATCATCATCATCATCATCATCATCATCATCATCATCATCATCATCATCGCCATCGTCATCATCATCATCATCCTCATCGCCATCGTCATCGTCATCCTCATCATCATCATCATCACCAACATCCTCATCCTCAAACCTCAAACCTCAAGCCTCATCCTCATCCTCATCATCCTCCTCAACCATGACAACAATATATATATATATAGTTCATCATTCACCACGCTTCATCCATCATATTCGTGGATGGGTCAAGACCTATTATTACATATTATTACCATCTTTGGGAGAACAAAACATCCACTGAGCTATTTCAGCGTACCTAGGGCCCTAGGGTACCAGGGTTGTGAACGTCCAAATCTGTGCAGAAAGTCCCAGCGATCAGACCGAGGCATTGCGTGGCAGCAATCGGAAACCCCAGCCGCAAGGCAGAGAAGAAGGTCAGGGCAGGACGGCCCTCAGCCTCTGGAGTCAAGCCGTCAAAATTGCCAAGATGTTGCAGACAATGCCATTATATATATATAACATGTTTTCAATGTTTAGATCGTCCAGATCTTCCAACTATCCAACACCGATGGTTTGGTTTGGGCGTTTATAAAAAATAACCAAGGTGGCCAAACAAACAGTGCGACAGCATTGAGATGGGCAGGCCCAGCCTCATCTCCTGTACTGACCAGGGATGGTTTCAAACAACGCACCAGCACCACGCAAGCGGTGCTAACCTGGAGATCGGACATTGCCCAGAAATTGCGCCCTGCATCTCCAACGAAGTGGTTTCCATTTCCGAAGTCCCGTATTTGGAACTCAATCGTGATGTTGGTGCTTCTGGCTTCCAAATGGTGACTGGTTTGAAAACACGGACTTAACCCTTCAGGAAGATGCGCAAAACAATTTCCATATGTGTTCATTTTCCTTTTCATTTTCCTTCTGTGTGGGTGGTGTTTTTTGGCAACTTCAAAATTTACAGAGCAAGGGACTGATTGGTGCCAGAATGTGAGCCACACAGGATGTCTGAAGCCTTGCAACCTCATGGCATCACGGTTCCATGGGACACAAGGGGTTGTTGATGGACCGATGGATCTTCATGGATGTTCTTTGGGACACTACCTCACTGCCTGAGGCCTCCCCTGTGGTTCAGCTTCAGCAGCAAGGAAGCGTTGAAAATGATCATCGTGGCACTCATCGAAATCGTACAGGCCAGTGCCCCAACAATTTTCCATGTCGACGCCATGGCTTGAACACATTTTGGGGCGATACATCGCCATGAGTCGAAATGTACGGTTTCCAAAAACCATGGCAACGATGGATTGGTTTTGTTGAAACCCTTTTATGTATATTTTTTTTGCCCAGTGCATTTTTGGCTGCATGGTTTACATTGTGGATGTCAAAGTGTGTGTCTGTGTGTGTGTGCGCATGTGTGTGTTTGAAAGCAACCTTTGCCAATTTTTTTTTGGCGAACGGCTGTGTTTTTTCATCTAATGTTGTAGTTATTTTGGATTATTTATTATTGTGATCATTGTTTTCATCATCATCGCCGTTAAGATTAATGAGGGAAACCCAACGGATTTTTATTGGGTATATGTCTATTTGGGATGATGTAAAATGCCCCACAAATTGCTGGTTAGGGGGGCGGCGGTTTTATAATTTTGATTTTCCGCATTATTGTTAGAAAATTTTCGGCCCAAAACGAATGTCCGCCACATGAACTTGCAAGATATCTTGGAGCCCCAGCTGAACGGCACAAGCAAATTTCCAAGAGAAAACTTTGTTTGGACAAGGTGGTGGTTTAATATACATATATATATATATGTATATATAAATTGATATTTATGTACTGATATAAATATGTATATCTATACCTGAAAATTATATCTAAAAATGTCTATATCTAAAACCTTATATTATCTATATAATCTGTTCTATCTATATCCACAAATCTATATATCTAAATACCTAAATGTACATATATATATATATCCATATTCTGTACATGTTTTGTCTCTATATATCTATATTTCGTCTGTGAGCCTATGTATCTATGTATTAAATGATCTATACATTAAAATATCTAAATATCTACATATCTATGTACCTATGTATTTACATACATATATATATTCATATATCTACATCTATGTATCAATATACCTATGTATCTATGTGCCTATATATTTGTAAAATTATCTATGTAAATAGCGATTTCACTAAATGTCAAATATGTGTATATCTATAATTCTGTTATCTACATATTTTGTAAACTCAATATATATATATATTCTATCTATCTATCTATCTATCTATCTATCTGTCTATGCATATATCTACATATCTGCATATCTGCATATTTATATTCTGAAAATTATATTTCTATATATCTAAAAATCTATATATCTATGTTTTCATATCTTAACATCTATGTATCTACAAATCCATATATCTATATATCTGTATATCTAAATATCCATATACCTGTATACTTATGTATCTGTATATCTAAAAATCTATATATCTACATATCTATATATCTATATCTATTTATTTGTCTCTATATATATATAAGTATATACCTATACGATGTATAGGTATATACATATATCTAGATATCCATCTATCTATCTGTTCAATACTTGGCTTCCGTTACGCTTCAAGATTCTCCCTACTGAAAATGAGACATAAGCAGCACGCACGAAGATAGCGTCTGGTGCATCGATCGGTTTCAGGGATCTCAATTTATACCACACAAACGGGTGGCCAAAATGATAGCGTCTGGTGCATCGATCGGTTTCAGGGATCTCAATTTATACCACACAAACCAGCGGCCAAAATGTGTGATGGATAGATCCCAAGTGAAACATGAAATTCAACCCCCCCAAGGATGTATCAAAGATGGTACAAGATCAGCGGATCAAAATACAACGGGTAAAAAGTGGGGTAGTCAAACATACATGCCAACACCAATCGAATGAAGACCAGCCGGAGCCAACTACCCCTCCCAAAACAAATTGGGATTCGTGCTGCTATGTTTTTCAAGCACAGCGGATGCGAAAAGTAGAACGCCATTTGGCCGATGCTTGAAAAGTTTGGATGCCTGTCTGATTAAATAGTCAGGTTCCGCCAGTCAATCTTCTGTTGAGCAGCTGGGTCCAAGGGACATGATGGAGGCTCGAAACGACTGAGTGAATCAGCCAGATCATTGAGGTGTCCAGGGATGTGGGTGATTTCAGCATACACGTGCCATCTTCGCATGTAGAGAAAGTATGGTGCAATGATGCGCGCCATTCCTGTAGTCATAGTGATGCCTTTAGCTGCTGCGGCGTCAGCTGCACTGTTATCAGTGCCTTGGTGACATTTTTACCCGACCACGGTTGCAGGGCAAATGCGCAACCATGCAGCTAGTGAGGATGAACTGCGCGAGTAATTCCCATACTGCAATGTGTCTTTGCATGTCTGTGCCGACTCTGCTCCAGTGCGCTTTGGCTTCTGACAGTGAAACCTCAGCTGAAACCAGGCGCAAGATCCATCAGGGAAGATAGCTGCACCTCCAAAACCTGCAAAGTCTGTATTGGCCATAGCATCTGCTGTAGCCTGAACCGGCAACGTCTGCGATTGTACCATGGAGATCCAAAATGAGGCAGAGGACAAGATAGCCTGCCACGCAGCAATACCATCGACAGCATCTTCATCCAGCAATCGGTTGGGAGATGATGGATCTGAAACGCCAAGCCATACTGGTCTGCTTTGGTGACAACATTGGTGTTAGCCACACGTCGCAAATGGATGCCTGCAATCAAACTGTGGAGCCGGTCTGACATAGGTGAAACACCATCCACAAGTTCTGCGAAAGTGACATGATCAACCCCCACCATCGTGAGTGGAATGTTCCTCAATGCTCTGCAGAGGAATCGAAAGAGGTCTCAAATGTTGCCATGCAGAGGTGAGCCACAAAAGTCTGCCCGCAATAAACTCCCAACTTTTAACCAACAATTTGGAGTCCATCGCCGAAGAATCCAGTTGAGACAGAATGACCGCAAGCTTCTGCTGTGGGACCTGTATCGTCCATGTTTCCACACAGATGGACCACCCGATCCAGTTAGGTTGGCGGATAAGGCCGCCTTGTGCCAACTCATGGGTATGCTAAGTATGATGAATAAGATGACCAAACATGATGCCCAAAGTGGGGCTGATTGCTTGTCGAGCCATGCAAGCAGATCGTCCACGTACTGCCAAAGTGCATGTTTGTGGTCAAGGATGGCATGTGAGGTGCGAATCATCAGGCCGGGCACTCGGCCCCACGCCCAACCACTCACTCTGGCGCCGAAATGCAAAGTGATGCATTGGTAAAGGTCATCACCCACATGGAAACAGAGTAGGCTACGATCATCTGGATGTACCAAGATGCGCCGGTGCGCTTTTGAGACGTCCAATGTCAACTGCATGATCTGTTCACGAGCCATTGATGATGGTGCACAGCGCAGCAAGTCACTGATGCGTGAGTAACATGTGATTGGGTAAAACTGCGTTGGTCGCCACATTGGAGACAGAGCTATCAACGACCAAGCGAGGGAGCGGCCCTCAGCAATCACTAGGCCCAATTTGCCCACTGCCACTCTCTAGCGTATCTGGACTTGAGCTCGGCCACACCCCCAGGAACCATGGACACACATCCAGCTGCGACTTCTTCGGCCACCAATGACTGATCAAGAGGCAAGTTTTCTCTGGCGCTCTTCCAAGCTGAATTGCATTCCACCAAGGGAATGTCATCTGGCAAAATCGCAGTGTTGGGTGGCCATGCTGGGGAGGGTGACAGCTGGGAATTCACACCAAGTTTGACACCATGCCCCAGGGCATCCAGAAAGTCAAGGTCTGGGTCATTTCAACACGATGCGAGCAATTTCCACAACGTGAGTCTGAGAGGTTGACCTGGTCCAACATGCATCACATCCAGCGCACGGTCAGCAACTCCCAGGATCTCAAGCATGTCTGAAGCATAGGGCTGGATCTCCGCATCTGTCAAGGGTGGCCCAGGCGCCGCCGACTGAAGATGAGCCACAATCTTCATGCAGTCTCTCGAATCACACAGGCGTTGAAATAGCAATCAACGGAGAGATGCCCAAGGAGGCAGTGTGCAAGGCTGTGCTTGGCAAACCACCCCCATCTTCAATTCTGGAGGTTACACATGGCCATGTGAGTGTAGCTGGCAACTAATCTCTCCACTCTCTCAGCTTGCCCGCCATGCCCTGGTTTGTAGTATATGGGGCGATCACCCCAGCCAATGCTTGGGCTAAGGCTGGTGGGTACTCGGCAGTGAGGCGTGACATGAACGTTCCACCAGCCAGTCGGACACCCACAATAGATTCGTGAGCCTTGGGTCCATGAGAGCAAAGCTTGGCCACAGCTCGATGTCAGGCTTGTCACAAAACACCACGTCTTCGCCCAATTTGTGCCAAATTCGCAAAGCGCGAGCATGTGCTGTGTCATACTGGTCGAAGGGTTTTCCAAAATGGCCAGACCATTGCGCCTGGTGACCGCTGACAACAAAAGCCGTGCTCTGTCGTGCATTCCTGCACTGCAAGCTGTTGGGCGATTCTGTTCCCAGGCACAGCTCAGACGCTCCCGGGAAAAATTTTTGTCGGTGAAGCAAGCCTCGAGGCAGGCCTTGAAACGCGCCTCCAGGGTCGCGAGGCTATGGAAATTTTGGCACAAAACACCTCGAGGCAGGCTTCGAGGCTGGGGCTATGGAAATTGGAGCAAAACAATGTATATCACAAAGAAGGGGTCCATTTGGAGACGCGCAAACATGGGCCTCCCCAATATATTTGATCAAAATGAGGTTCCAAAACCAGGGCCTCAAAACAGGCAGTGTTGCGGTGACCGTATCCTCACAGTATAGCGAGCATGCTGTTGATTTTCTCAGCGTGTTGGGGATCCGTAACTGTAAATACGCTGATACGCCGTTACGCCGATCACTGTGTTTACGCCGATACGCCGTTACGTCGATCGCCGTTTTTACGCCGATACGCCGATCGCTGTGTCTACGCGGATACGCGATATGTGGGTTGTGGCGTTTTGTGCTGTAACGCTGGCATGCCGTTGTGCTGACCGGGTGTCATTGCGCTGCCACGCCGATACGTCGTTACGCCGATCGCCGTTTTTACGCCAATACGCCGTTACGCCGATCGCCGTTACGCTGATCGCCGTTTTTGCGCCGATGCACCCTGCTCGGTCAAACCTTTTGTGCTGCCACAATGTCCCGTTGCTCTGATGCTCCCACAGGCAATTCTTAAAACGGGAGCCTTCCGTGTCACGTCAGTGGTTTGGGCCGCCACAGGGGCAGACTAAATCGTACGCTGAAGAGCACTAGATGACTGGATGAACTACGGAGGTGCCCCTTCTCGTAGCTGCAGGATATCAAGACAATGTCAAACCCGGATTTGTGTTTAACAAACCCTGGTTCATTAACTAAGGGGATATCAAATAGAGATCATCTGATATTTAAATGGCATCCCCCGAATTCAACAGCCTAAGGGCTTACTAATCCAGGGTTGAGATTAGACCACTTTTGCAGCTAGATACTGTAATGAAAATGTAATGAAGAAATATGAAGGCCCCCTTGTTCTTTGCACGTTTCCAAGAAGATAAGAAAATCCTTTTCCTGGTACACAAACATGGTCTTAGAAATGGGTTGCTGAATAGCCCAAAATATTGTGCAGGATGCCAGTCCAAACATACAAGGCAGTGACAGAGGGCCGCGCTGACCGAGTCAGAAGGAAGTAGTAATGGTTCAATGCGCAATGCCCATGTCACATCTCAGAATTTAACAGAGAGTATACTTGTGGTCTGTATCTTCAACTTACCAATAACCGAACGGCGGCTCTGGGCAGTTTCGGCATTCAATCATATCAAGTCAAATTGACCATGGTATCAAATATCAAATCATCCAACTCAAGAAGTCAATCATCCCTTCCCCGTACCATATTTGGGACCATAGAATGGAGATGTCCAATATTAGGGGGGTGGGGCAGGATTAATTACTGCTTCATTGTGTTTCATATTGCTTTATATGTTTTTTATTATGTGTCCGAATATACCCACTGTATCCCCACAAATGCTTGGTCTTGTTCCCATCTATAAGCTATTAGTGGGGACATAAAGTAACTAAAAAAATGGTGGTATATAGGTGTCATTCCAACTACATGTTTAAAACCCCACTAACGGTTGGTTTATGCAATTCCCATTTATACCTGGGGTCGCATCCCACTTAGTAAAACGGACCATACCCCAGCTATATATCATATGGTCTTATATGGAATATCCCCAACTTTATCTGGTTTATACGGGATATATATCACTTACCACGAGGAATGCACATCTAAGCAGGAGGCTGGATATGGTTTGATTGGTTTTCAGATCGAATAATTGGGGTCACCGCTGTATCAGCCACAACTTCAGTGCACAACTTTACCACAGACACAGCAGCTATGCTGGGCGCCCGACTTGCCAGCATGTTTCGAAATTTGTGGCATCCCTTGCATAGCCATGCCCTATAATACATCTATATATACACATATACATATATATATATATGTTTGAGATTGTACTTAATTCTATGTGTAAAATATAAGATAAGACTTGGTTTTGAGCAAACTCAAGGGGCCCCTGCGGTCATGCGGTCTGGCAGCGTTTCACATGCTATGCACAACTGACATCCTGTAGTGGGGTTGTGATCCATGGAGATATGTTCACTCAAGTCACATGTTGCGCTGCTTGCCCACAGTCAACGTGATACGCTATGGCATGCAACCTTCACACTTCCGGAATTTTTCAGAGGTGCTAGGGCAGTGATTGCAACTTGGCCCTGTGGTAGCACGCTCCTGACCCGGAAATCCGAATTTCCTCGGGCGCTTTGGCCCTATTCAGCTCTTCTTGCAGGTTCGCCTTGTGGCGATGGTAGAGCTTCGCCAATCTCGCGTTCGCTTGCTCGAGCTCGGCCATCGTCATCTTCATTGATTCTTTCACCCTCTTCTGGAAATCCACTCTTTCTCGCGCCTCCAGCACCTCAGTTGGAGTCAATGGCGACTGAGATGGTGTCGCTGGAGGCTTCCTGGTCCACTAGGTGCTCGTACTTCTCCTTGTGCTCGAGCATCTCCTTCCTTGTTTTCTTGTATGCCTGAAACTCAGCTTCCAACTTTGTTTTGGTCTGGACGGCTTCTTTCGAATGATGATCTCGATCCTTGGTCATGATGTTGAGCTGAGACTCCAGGATCTTCTTCTCGGAGATCGCCACGTTGTAGACAGCGGCCATGTCGTCGTAGGACTGCTGTGCTTCTTCTTTATCTGCTTCCGCAGCCTCCTTGTCAGAATTGGCTGCTTCCAGCTTCTGCTTCATCTCCTTCTCCAGCTGCTTCTGCGCATCACGGCGTGTCGCCCGCATATCGGCGTACTCACCAGTGGTCTTGATCTTGTCCTGGCTTATTGCCTCAGCATGTTCCAGCCCCCTGATTCTCTGATCATTCTCTTTGATCACCTTCTCGGTCATGTTGATGTAGTCTTCATGTTGTGCCTTCGTTCTCTGGTAAAAGGCGACGGCCATGTCTTTCGTCCAGGTGAATGTTTCATCCTCCAGACCCATTGGCTCCACAGGTAGAGCTTCTTCTCCTTCTTCATGCACTGCTCTTCCTTCTTCCTTCGGCACCAGGATGTCTGTGGCCATATTCTGCACAACGTTCACAAACTTCGTAATGAACTTCTCTGCGCAAATGGCCACAAACACAGGGATGAAGATGGTCACATAGACGGGCCAGTAGCTATGCTCATCCTTGTCGACAGGCACATAGTTCCCGCGGGGGTGCGCTGCGACTGGTGTCGCCGTTGCCACGGCCGTAGATGGCAGCAACATACTCTTGGATGTGATTCCAGCCGCCAGCCCAAACAGCACTGATGCCGTCGTCATCAAAATCTTCTCCTTGGCGCTCTCAGCGTTCTTGATCACCTCTTCATCGTTCATCAGCAGGTCTGACTCCTCATCCAGTGGGATCGATGGTAGCACCCACGACTTCACTGGGTGGTCCGGCTCGTTCTTGAACTCCACTTTTCCAGCGCTCAGCAAATGCAACGGCTGGGTCGAAACCATCAGCTTGGTGAGCGAGCCGGCTACCATGGAAGCTGTTGGCACCAGGGACATGAGCCTCATACGGCCACTGATTCGAGCTTCACGAATGCCCAAGATGTACAACCTCTGGCTTTTGTCCTGGGGCAATGTCCTCTGTCCAGTGGAAAGTTCCCAAAGATCAGCACAATCTGAGTAGTACTCGGCTGGCAGATTGGGGTCTCCATTTTCTTGCAGAACAACCAACTGGTCCAGTGAAGGTGCAGGTTCATGATGCATGATTTCGGACAGCCTTGTTGAAACTGATGTTGTGGATTCAATTCCATTCACCATGGCCAACGTCTCCGAATGACTCGTGCTGTAGCTCACCCTTTTAGCCTCGGCGCCTGCGAATGCAGCACGTGCATCAGGCCACCATGTTTGGCGACGGTATAGTCGTCGCAGATGTGCTCGTGGTCGATTTGATGGCCTCTCCAATGATCAACCGCAAGCATGACGAGGATGCCTTCCTGCGCATAGTGGCGGCCCTTGCTCGCTGATGAAGCGTCATGCACACAGACTACTCGTTGATGATCACTCCCGAAGAATCTGTAGTGCAAGCGCACGTCGGAGTAGGCCTTCACCTTGTCCACCACGCTGTTGGCCAATTTGATGTCTCGAATTTCTGCTACTGTGACTCGAGCCTGTAGCAGCGATACATCCGACACCACATCCAATCTGGTAGATGTCACCCACAACAATGCCCCCAACACGGATCGGAACTCTGAGTTTGGATTCCTCCGCTCGAGATGGTACTTTGGCATGAGTCAGCTTCTCCGCAAAGTCCTTCTGGGTGATGGAGCAGCCTTGATTGGTCTCTGCATATTCGCATCCGCAATGTTGGAAGGGCAGCTGTTGGCGTGTCACCTTCTGGAACTTCTGCACGAACTTGCTGTAGCGGAGGTCCATCCAGGATTCCTCTGCCATAATAGCAAGGTCGTCGACATGTGTCATTACCATGGCATCCAAGTTGTTGAAGATGTCCACCTTACCCTTGTTCGGCTGCTTCCAGTAGAAACAATTCTCATGCAGCTTGCTGCGATGGGCTCCAAGCTCCAGCAGGAACGAATGTAGCGACAACTGGCATGCCAATGGAGCATCATTGAGTCCATAGATAGGTTTCAGGCACAGCAAGCCGTAATCTTGAAGAGAATGAATGTTCTGGAACTCTGAAGTCAGCTGATAGTTCTTGAAGATGCCGCCAGACGTTCATCCGGGGATACACAATGACTTGTCTCGTTGGCGCTGTCACTCCAAGCTTCTGAAGCGCCTTCTGAATGGCTTTGAAGTCAAACCCCTTGAGGAACGCCCCGGCGATGTCCCAGCTTTCAATCTTCTTCCTCTTGCCCTGCTTCTTCCTGGCAGCCACTGACACCAGGAGACGCTGCGAAAGTCGAGTTGCAGTCGTACTCCGAGTTGTCACTAGTTCCTTTTGTTTGTCAAGGCAACCTCTGGCACATAACCTGCTTTTGATCTTCAGGGTCTTGTCTGGCAACCTTTTCCACTTTCTGACCCATCTGGCGTCGATCTGGACCATGTCTTCCGTCACCTGCATCCGGTGTATCGGTTTGAAGGCCTTCTCATCCACGAATTGTTGGATTTCGCTGCGATCTGCAGCTTCGATCTGCGGCCACAACGACGGGTCCAGGTTGTCGTCGTCCAGGTTGCTGGTTTCACTGGTCGCCTTTGAAGATCTCTGCAGTTCTCAGGTCAGCCAGTGCTTCGTGGTCGCTCTTGTAGGCAAAGTGGAAGAGATATCCATAGCTCTTCCTCTTCTGCTCACTGTGGTAGCGACTGGTAGTGGAGAAAGTTCCTGGTTGCCTCTGTCATGCAGTCAAATCCATATCTCCAGTCGACCGTGATGTCAAACTGTACGAACTGCTTGACCATCGATGCCGCATGGTAGCTCTTGATGAAGTCATGGTCCTTCCTCACGAACTCGCATTTCTGCCTCTTCTTCCCTGGAGCAAGCACCACAGATCGCGATTCAGGGCCATCGCGCTTCTTTGAGACATTCTCCTCCTTCATGGGTGCCAAAGTTGCTCAGGCTGCATTTCCGTCGAAGAGCTCGTAGTGGATGTTGGTCTGCAAGGCACCGGTCCTTCCTCTTCTGCCAGCTGTGAGTGGTAGTAGAAGAGGTAGAGAAGGCAGACTTCTTCTCGAGGATGCATCGTGATCTTCTTAATTTTGAGATGCCAATCGGACTTGCGTTCTTGGACAGCATAGCTCCGTCCGCCATGAATCCATGTGATCAAAATCACAGTGGTAGTTGAAGGAGGTTTGAAGCTACGAAGTGCTTTTCCAAGAATGCATCCATGCAGTTGCCTTTTGGTCATCGCAGTGGAGATGGTCGCGGCTTTCTGCATCCGCTTCCTCGTTGTTCTTGGGAAGTTTGCTCCATTGATCTCGCTGATTGCGCACCCAGCCATAGAGGTAGATCTTGTAGCCTGTCAAGGACTCAACATAGCGCATCAGCCTATAGAGCATCTCGTCCATCTCAGGTTGTTGCACGGCGACGTGGTAGATGCCTCGGAACGGTCTGATGTGACGAAGTGCCACCAAGTAGGGTTTGCCTTGGTATTGGATCACTGCAACACCCTCATCCACATCCAGTCTGAGCAGCAATGCCGGTCCTCTCCAGCCAGGATCATCCTTCACCTCTCTGAAGAATTCCACCTCCAATGTTCCGGCAGTCAGGGCACTGAGGTCCAGTTGATGAGGTCGAGTGCGGCTGGCCCCGGCAACTGTGTCCTCAATCAGCGCTTGCTGGGCCTGCAAGGCTCTCTCGAAGACTGGGATGTCGGTCTGGCCAGCGCCCTCGTAGCTCAGAATGCCCTCGGACTCAGTGTCATAGAATCTGCGAGGCAGTGTCCCAAAGACTGCCACTGCTGGAGTGATGCCCTTGTAGCTGAGCGTGATGTTTTGAGCCATGGCGCTCTCACGTCCAAGTTCCTCTGGCTGAGGGTTCATCCCTTGCCTTTGAAGTCCTCTCTCAGCTTGTACATGATCATTTTCATGAGCTGGACGTGCCTCTCAACTAGTCCGGTTCCAGTATGCTGTTCAGCTCCTGGACCTGCAGTTGTTCCCTTCGGGTCGCGCTGCATGTTGAGGCGTTCGAATTCACTTCCAGCTTCACGACCCATGAGACTCACCTGTTGATCCATGATGACCTTGCCTGGCGCTCCAAAGGTGTAGATCCAGCAATGGAGCAAGGCTGTGAGCAGTTGATCAGCATGTTGGCCTTCGATGGTGCAGCATGATTTGAAGCGATGGTGCAGCATGATTTGAAGCGAGTGGCCTCGTCCAACACCAACATGTACCAAGTGTTCTCCCAGTTGAAAAAGTCCATCTGGATTGCCTCATTGAAATTGGCACCACCAACACGCATCTGTGGTCTATTGGGAAGCCATACATACTTTCTGCAGACGGCACAGGACTTCACG